ATAACGTCTAGATCCGGGGATCTATCGTTAGACATTGACTTAAGGGAGTCGTCACTAATCTTTTTTATGTAGGTACGATTGGTCACCTAAAGAATCTATCCTTTCGGAGAACACCTAAGTTTAAGGATCCCTAAAAGAATAGGTTCGGGTCTACTAACCAGAACAGGGTTCAGGAGTTCAGTTACGTGTGAGGAAGGTTATAGCACCCTCACAACGCCCATCAAATGATGGTACCAGCTTAAATTTATGTTATCCAATAAGCCTTAAAATTTTACCAAGTAATTAATTATTGAAAATTACTTTCAATTGACTCTAATACTTTTAGTAAAAAATTTAAAAAATTCTCTCACCTCAAGAGTATGCAAGAAAAACTATTGTTTCACTTGCAGAGGCTCCATCGTCGGATTATTTAACATTAAAAAAAATAAAAATAAAAAAAAAAGAAAAGAATGATTGTTTTTGTGTAGGAAAAATTGATACTTTCAACTTTTCCTCGAAATATTTTTTAGAAATTTTAATATCGAGGAAAATTGATACTTTCAACTTTTTTCCAAAATATCTTTTGAAACTTTAATTTCTAGAAAAATTGTACTTTCAATTTTTTCTCAAAAATTTTTTTTTGAAAATTTATTTTTTAAAAAAATTGATACTTTCAACTTTTTTCCAAAAATATTTTTTTGAAACTTTAATTTCGAAAAAAATTGATACTTTCAATTTTTCCTCAAAAACTGTTTTAAAAATTTATTTTTAAGAAAAATTGATACTTTCAACTTTTTTCCAAAAATATTTTTTGAAAACTTTAATTTCGAGAAAAATTGATACTTTCAACTTTTTCCCAAAAATATTTTTTTTTGATTTTATTTAAAGAAAATAAAATAATAAAATAAAATAAAAGTGAAAATAAAAAAATAAAGAAAATAAAGAAAAGTAAAACAAAAATAAAAATAAAATAAAGATAAAAAAATATTAAATAAACCTAATCTAATAATAAAATAAATAAATAAAATTAAAAATAAAAAAAAATCTGGAGTGGCTCGGCTCACGGCTCGGCTCAGCTCGGCTTAAGGAAGAAAAACGGCTCGGAGAACGCGGCTCGAAAGGTTGGCTCAGTTCGGCTCGAGTAGGTAGGTCACGCGTGGGTCGAAAAGTGGGTCGACGCTTGGGTCGGGTCGGATCTTGACAAAACGCGCGGATCCTTTGAGTTATTTAACGCAAAAATGGTATCGTTTTGAGAGGGTGTATAAGGTTGGTTCCTTCATTTTTTCAGCAGAAGCCCTCTTTCCTCTCTCTCTCTCTTCTTTTCTTTTCTCTTCCTTCTCTCTAAAACGTCTGAAGAACTCTGGTTGAATATTCATCGAATTCTGAAAAATTAGTCGAAATCTGAGTTTTTCACCGGAAGTTTACCGAAAAGTTGGTCGGTTTCTGAAAATCTTCATAGGAAACTGGGCAACTGGCCGAAAACTTCAAACTTGGCCGGAATTGTCACCGAAAAATTCAACTTTCGTAGGAAAATTCATCAGAATCTGGAAATTTTCTTGAAATTTCCTGAAAAAAAATCACCGAAAAATCTCCAAAATTTTTTTTTCTATTCCTAAAGCTGTTCTAACGCTTCTAAACCCTTCTTAGCCTTCAAATCTCTTCTATATGCCTTTTTCTCTCAACCAATAGCTATTTTTTCACTGTTTTCTGTATGTATCCTTCTGTTCCTAAGGATCCCTTTTATAGGGATTGATCAGAAGAGTTTCTGATCAATCCCAATTTATCTTTGGATCGAGATTCAATTATTGAATCCAACATGGACTCTTCTGATTGAATCCCAATCCAATTTTCAGTCGGATAAATCAAAAAAATAAAAAAAATCAAATGAAAATAAATCAGATAAATAAAAAAATTAACAGATAAATTAAAATTAAATAACAGATAAATTATAACATATAATATGATATACCTATAAATATTAACAAAAAAATAATAATAAAGATATATATATATATTAATAAATAGTAGTGATAAATAAATAAATAATAAATACCTAAGATAAAAATAAAAGGAAAAAAAATATATAAAAAACAATAATAATAATAATAATAAATAAAAATAAAATAAAAATGTAAAATACAAAAAATAAAAATAAAAATAACAATAAAAAAAAATAAATTTACCTATTTGGACCAGACCCAATTGATCCGAACTTGGACCAAATTGGATGTCTACAAGTTTTATAAAAACATAAAAGCTAGTGACATTTATAATTGAAAGGTCGCTACAAAACTATCACTAATCTTTCATTTTCTTGTAGTATTAGCAATAAAAGTCTAAATTTTTCTTCTATTAATTTCTTTATGATCACATAATCTCGGGTACTTACATAGTAATATTTTTTATTTCTTTTTTTTTAATTTATTCTATAAAATAATAATGTGCGAAATAGATCATTTTTAAATTCAGAATTTAATTCAATTAATTTTTATAATTATTTGTAGCATTTAATAGGTTTAAAATTCAAACCACCTACAAGCAATCTTTTCCTTATTCTAAACCTTTTACATATATAAAAAAATAGACCATCTTTTCTCATAACAAAATGGTGAGATAAAAAAGTTTTCACATATAAAAAATTTAGGAGTCTGGTTGATTTTAGGGCCAAATTTAGTATATACATTATATGAAATGGAAAAAATCAGTAGAAAAATAAAACCTTTATATTTGAATTTTAGAAGCCAAAAAACATCACACTGTCCAAATTCAGTGTGATAAAACCATTTTAGAAACGAAATTACTCTCATTATATTTAAAAAGTAATAAAATCTAAAAGTTAGTGCATATTGTATCATTATGATTTATCATGTAATGTTTTCCTCTGAGATGCTGAAAAAGTACATACAAATCTTCATGGATAATTGCAAATGTGTCAAATGCCAACTTCATGGCCGCCGCCTATTCTTATGAACAGTGCGTGTTTCGCCGACATCTTCAAATGATTTTCCCAAGACTAAAAGAAAAATCCTTAGGGTCTCAATAAAAAATTGGATTAATTCATATTTTTTTCAGATAATACAGGCCAAAGAAAAAGTTTTCCATGGATTGAAACCAAGTGTCCTTATTTGCCTGATCATGTCCTGGTCTACCAAAATTTCACCAGAGTTTCGCTTGAAACCCTGGAACAATGCAGGCTAATAATGAGCAAAGCGTTGAGCCAAGGAACCTACGAGCCGAGTTTCATGAAGTTTTACTGCAGAAGAAGTGGCATTTTTTCAGGGTTCTTAATCCAATACTTTGACAGGAAGAAGACATATACTATGTTTCTCAGTATAACCCTTTGCCAGACAGGTCATTGTTTCTGAATTTTTTGCCTGATCATCAGGTAACCGTCCAAGCCGTGTCAAACCGGGGTTTGGTCTACTGCGTAAGCAGAAGATTATCGCACTATGTTTGCAAGGCAACTACGGGAGAATGGGTGAAAATACCCAACCCCAAAACAAGGTTTATTACTTATAGAAATGCCATGGTGGTTCTCCATTCTCGACCGTTGCATTACAAGATCGTACGACTCTCAAAGCCTATGGATTTTTCACGGTAAATTTCATCCTAGACCAAAACTAGTCATCATTTTGGCTATTATAATACTGTTTTAAACTTTTTATACTAATCCATTTTTCCTCCACAATGACATGCATTGATATCTATTCTAGATGCAGCACTATCTTCTGTGAGATTTTCGATTCTGCAAAGGGTAGTTGGAAGAGGTCAGAGAACATAAAATCATCTGGCTTTGTGATGCTGAATGAAGGACCCCCAGTTTTTGTTAGAGGAGCATTCCATTGGTTCACTTACAGCGACCAGATATTCGCCTTCGACGTCAACAGTGACATGTGGAAACTAATCGACTTGCCAGAACAATTCATTGATAACATGACCAGTTTTAATCCTACAAAACAGATTGTCAAATACCAAGGTAAGCTGGCTCTTGCAAGACAAGCCATGGGTGACAACAAAGTGGAAATGTGGGTGATGGAAAATTATCCGAGAAAAACTTGGAAGCTGACAAGAGAGATGGTAATGAATGTTGGTGATGAGGATACTGTCGTTGATTTTTATAACCGTCATGTTGCAGTTGTGGTAAACTTTAAGGATTTGATTTGGTATGATTTCCAAAATGGAACTTCAACCACTCCTGTGTGCAGTGACTTCATCTCTGGTCGCAATATCTTCCCTTTCGAATCGGATAATCAACCCATGTATTAGACGTCGCCTGGGATTGGTTTACAATTGCTTCACTTTGCAGGGACTGATCTAGGGACTGAGTTTATTAGTTTTGTTTTGAAATGTATGATCAATTGATCATTAACGCTATTATTGATTATTGTATATGACAAATGGATTGTTTTTTCTTCATTCTTTAAGGAAATTTCAATTTTCAAATATACATTGAGGTTACATTTGATTTTATATATTCTAATAAGAGTTCATTTTTTTATAATATATTGATAATACAATTTTTTAATTCCACAAATAAAATTAAAAGATTTTCGCATAGAATTTTTATAAATAATAAAAATTCTTCCTCTTCTACATGTGCATGTTTATATAGGCATTATTTTTTTAGGTACGGTGGACGTAATTCATAGCAACCTTAGTTTTTTTATAAACAAATTAAAATATTAGAACTTGCTAATTAAAAGTACATATTTCAATCAAAATAAAAATAAAATGTTATACTCATTAAAATTTAAATACTTAAGAACAAAGCATTCAAAAGTAAGTAAACAAAATTTTTACTTAAGGTTAATAATTAATTTGTGAAATATTTTATATAATCAACTTGATAATATATGCTTCATTTATATTTACACCTAACACCATCTAAGCGTATTAATACACAAGTTTTTATAATTATTTAAGATATTTAGACGGGATCATTTTAATTAAAATTTTTTTATTACAATATTGCAATTAATCAATTACAAATCACTACTTAAAAATGTAAACTTTACGTACTTTTGTATAATTAATTAATTATATTACAATAATTATGATTGATATGCATCTGAATTCATGGCTTAATATACAGTTGTCCAATGTGTGAACTATATTTTGAGTGACTCACTCTTAACCAGAACCATAGTCTTGTAATCCAAAAATGCACAAGATTTTATAGGTTCTTTTTGTTTCTCTCATCTTGATACCCAGCTACAACCAGGAGATTTCCTCCTTTCCTTTTCACTTATCATCTTCCGCACCCTCTCTGCATCCTCCCATTTGTTTAATGAAGCATAAATATTTGCCAATAGCACATAATTTCCAACATTTTCAGGTTCAATTTTAAAGAGATGACTGGCTGCAATCTTACCCAATGCATCATTACCGTAAACCTTACAAGCTCCAAGCAAAGCACCCCAAATTCCAGCATCCGAGGCATGTCCATATTCGATGATAAGATTATATGCTTTATCAAGGTGGCCGGCCCTTCCAAGGAGGTCAACCATGCAAGTAAGGTGCTCAGTTGAGGGCACAATGCCAATAATTTGTGTCATTAGCTCAAAAAGCTTGCAGCCTTCTTCAACCAATCCACCATGACTACAGGCGTTAAGGGCACCTATGAATGTAACCTGGTTTGGTTTGATTCCTTCCTCCTGCATCTTTGAGAATAAAATCAAAGCTTCCTGGGACTCTCCATGTTCAGCAAGGGCCGTGATCATTGTGCTATAACATATTACATCCCTCTCCTTCATTCTACAGAATTCCCTCCATGCCTGCTTCATACATCCACATCTTGCATGCATGTGTATTAACGCATTTGATACAAAGAGCGTCCTATCTGAATTCATTATGCAATAAGAAATAATAATAATAATAAAAAGAAATCAGTGCCATAACCTTCTTCTTTTTTACACCCAATAAGACAAAAAAAGACATAAAAATCCAGCAAACTAATCAATCCTAGCATTCAAATGCATATATAATAGTACCATACTAGTAAATTACTAGTACCAACAGAACTTACCACAGCATCCTTCTTCCAAATTCTTAGTCAATGCTTCAGCCATATTAACATCTCCACTTTGGGTACAAGCAGAAAGAGCACCGACCATTGCAACCTCAGTAATTCTGACACCTTGATCTCTCATTGCCTTATAAACCTCAATTGCTTCCTTTGCATATCCATTCTGGGCATAGCAAGCCACCATTGCTGCCCAACACGAAGCATCCGGCTTTTCTATCTCATCAAACACTCTTCTAGCCTCACTCACGTCACCGCACTTCCCGTAGCCCGCGATCATAGCAAGCCAAGTAACCGAATTCCTCTCCACCATCCTGTCATAAAACTCCTTAGCTGCTTCCATGTCACCATAATTTGCATAGCCAGCAACCATAGCTGTCCAAGAAACCATATTGCGTCCCTCCATGGTATCAAACAAGCACCGTGCTTTATCCATCAATCCCACCTTAGTGTAACCACAAATCATTGCTGTCCAAGCAACAACATCTTTCTCTTCCATTGCATTGAACACTCTTTCCGCGTCCAACACGAATCCACATTTCGCGTACATATCAAATAAAGCTGTTTGCACTACATTATTCCCCAAGAAACCTGATTTTTCGACTCTTGCGTGAACTTGCTTGCCTTCGACTATTGCCGGTACACGAGCACAAGCATTAAGAACAGAGGAGAAGGTGAACCCAGAAGGTGATATGCCTTTCCACTGCATTTTAGAGTATAATAGGATAGACTGGATAAAATGACCATGGAAAACATGGGAGCGTATGAGGGAAGTCCAAAGGAACTGGTTTTTGCAATTGGGTATTTGGTCGAACACATGGCGGGCGTAGCAGATGTTGTCATCTGGTACATGAAGAATCCGGGTGAGTAACCGAAATAAAAAATGGTGATACTGGGGTTTACTTAGGGTTTTCAGTAAGAAAGAGTGGGCTTGTTTAAGTTGGTTTGTTGTTCTGTTAACTAGGAGGTAATGGGAAACGGTTGAAAATTGTTTTCTTTTGGCTGGGAATGGGGTTTGGGACATGTATATGGTGATTTAAATGGGAAGGGAAAGTAAATGGTTTTCATGAATATGATCTCTTTACATAATTGACAAAGAAAAGCTCAATTAAATTTGTTTGACGGCTGTGTCTTTTTTCAGTTTTAAAGCCAAACTGTTTGTAATTATGACTTCAAGGGTTTAGATTTGGTGTGAAGATGGAACACAGGTGTTAATATTTATATTAAAAATTGGTGCTAGACATCATTCTAGATTGGTGTGTCATGCTTTTTCTTCAATTGTTGGGCCTTGATGAAGGGTTTATTCTTATGTAAAGGTTAAGTTTTGCTGGCTTTTCGTTCATTCAATAGGATTATTTCTGGGTTACAAAAAATAGTAGGAATAAGAAGATGACTGATGCCTAAACACGGACATCTGACAATTCCTATATTTATATAATATAAAATATTTAAAATGTTTTGTATTTATATTATATTTTATATAAAAATTATATATTATAATTTAAATCAATATAAACATATAAACTATAATTTTTATTAAAATTTTACATCATATTTATTTATTTATATTATTTTGATAAATAATATCTAAAATTATCTTATCTACGTAAATAATTTTTCCCCGAAGTTTCCAGCTTTAAGTCATATTTCACGTCTCAAGATTTCATGGATGGAATACTATGGCTTAGTGTTAGGCTGGTGTTTCTCCGCAACACTAAGCCATAGCTCTCTAATGGGCTTATCCTTGACCCTTTATTCAAAACCACGTCCCAATCAAATGACCAATCATCCTCTGGGCTGGGGGCATATTTGCTACATAGATATATTAGATCCAAAAGACCCAAGTCATTAATGACATTTTCAAGATATAATTTTCGGTGTAAAGGCCCAAATGAAATTTCAAGGAATAAAATTTACAATAAAATTAAGAAAAAAGAACAAATCAACTTGATAATACTGCTTGATGAAATTACTCAGAATACAACAAAAGGGTAATTCTTATATTTCCATTCCAGTCCACAACCTTTTTCCATAGCAAGGAATATGGACATGGTTAGGTCTTCAAGGGAGCCTTTTTCTCTCTATCAGATATTCGTGCAGGAGCTGTAGAATGTGATTTGAAGCGGCCTCTACCTCCTTCCTCTTTTTCCTGGAAAATCGAAATCCCTTTCGTTCAATTTCCTTTTTATTAAAAAATAAACTGGTCCATTCCCACCCAGCCAAGCAAGTTCTTAAATTGTTGGAAAAGCATTATTACAAACAGCATTAAGTTAATATGAACATGAATTAACAGTATCTAATACCTTTTTCTTGACAATCTGAACAACGTCTTCATCCTGCAGAACATGCCCAAGGCCACAATGTTGAGGGTAATGCCTTGCACTTGTTCCCCAGACTAGAACATATTTTACATCCTTTATCAAATTCCTATGAATGTGATTACAGAAGTCTTTCACCATGCAACCACCCCTATCCTATGTCATGCCAAGAAAAATAGAATAAGAGAAAGAAAGAACAAACTTCCTGCATAAATTTAACAGTATAAAATATTAGAGGTAAATGCAATGACAAGAACAGATGTGTCATACAGCAGAGAAAACCGCGGGATCACTGAAATCAGGTTGCTGGCCTTGTGGTTTTGTGTATACTCTCACAAGCCCCATCTCTTCCCACATCTTAGAAAGTAGTCTATCTAAGTTCAGCTGCACAAGCAACAGGCATATAGATCAACATTTTTCTCAAACCACATGCATCAAATATGTAACTGACAGGCAATATTTTTCTCCAACTAATTCTGCCGTGCATTTTGTTCTTGATGTTCTAGTTGACAGCATCTTAGTGTCCTTTTGGCAAGTAATGGACAATGAACTCCATAAAAGCACGACGAAGAAATTGCAGCAAGCATCAGGTCTCATCAAATGTATGATTATTACCATCAAAAGCTAATAAATGAGATAACAGGTCAGCTGGTTCTGCACGTCATTAGAAGAGACAAGTTTCATCTTAAAACCAATACTATACTCCTTAATTTCCATTCCTTTTATTCATTATTGCCAAAAGCTATTAACATTTAGAAAAGGATAGAAGAACATGCCTTCAGATTGCAGCTTATGACAACAGAATTTGGCTGACGGGCTAACTTATCCACATCATCAATACCAATGACATCTATCTTGTTGTAAACATATACACACTTAATGTATTTGCGGTTTCCTTCAATGACATCTATAAAATCATCCACTGTGGCATCCTCACGGAATAGAACCTGAAATGAACCCATTAGGAATACCTCAGAGTAAGGAAACACCATTTGTAAAAATTGAATCAATTCAATCAATTCATTACAAGACTGCATACCTCTGCATTGTGAATTTTGTATTCATGTAGAATTTGATAACAGAGTTTCTCATCCACATGAGTTAAAGGTAAAGTGCTGTTGAAAGAGATGCCTCCAGTTTTTTTCTTTTTGAAATATATCTACAAATGAAATAAAGAAACCCAAAATGAAGCAGACTGCAGTAATACATGCTTGAAGTTATTGTCAAAAAAGAATTCATCAGAATTTCAACATAACTTGAACCATCAATATTAAACCATTTGCAATGTGAAAATCATTCGTTTTTCTTTAGGCAAACAACAATGCAATACTTTAGAACCTAGAGACGCACCTAATATATTATTAACGATACCACATTGACAACGGTTAGGAATGAACTTACTTGAGGCGGTCTCTTGTTTAAACGCAAACCCACAGCTTCTAGTTCCTTGGTTAATATCTGGCGATGACCTTCACTCTGACATTTTTGTAGCAGATTACACAGGCATAAGGAAAGAGTTGATAAAAACAGGGGAAACAACAACAGCAAATAACATCACTCCTAAAAGTTTAACAGTAAACAAATCAACAACAATGAATATTAAGGATTCAGGAAAAAGACATACATAGTGACAGCACTGACAAGCCATAGCAAATATAAACATTAAAACTACATCACCGTCTGTCAACAGTGTAAACCACTAATAGTCACTGGAAAGCTTGAAATACGCACAACTACAAGAGCACAAATTGAAACTTGAAAACTGTGTAGGAAAAAAAATGTGAGACTGAAATGAGCATTTAAAAAAGGAGGGCAAAAAAGAACAATTCTGGACAATTACTGACTACTGTAAACCTCTTCCAACAGCAATCCAGAAGAAAGAATGTATGTCATGACAAATACACATTGACACGGACATAATTGGGAAGGCTTCAATCAAGAGAAACTATTTTTCATCTTACAATTACACAATCTTAGATGTTCAAAACCAGGCATGTTTAGACTTAAACCAAAAGATAAAGAGAGCGATTAATTTCCTCCCATGCTTATCAATTTTCTCTTTCAAACACTTTCCAACCAAAACCTGCCTGGGACTAGATCAGAAAGTACTAAACACAGCTCTATTAAGTTCCTAAGTAACAGAATAACAATTTTTGAGCATCCTAATCAAGAGAACATACTATAATAAACAAAACCACCAATTCTTCAACCCCAAAAACTACTATTATGATATAGATGCTTACTTTAGAGGCATCAAGAACCATTAGCACAAGATCTGATGACTTGGCAACAGCAATAACCTGAGAAAAGAGCAGTCTCGTAAAACATGTTGAATTCAAAAAACCTACTCAACCAAACTGAGCATAAGAATGGATAAAACATATCATAGAGTTGAACAGTATGTAAAAGAAAGATATAATTTATCTTGTTCTTAGTGGGAATTTTGATGTAGGCATACAACACCCCCAAACCCAACTTCAACAAAATACTCACTTAGGTGCATGTTAAGCATTTAATCAAACAACATTCAATAAAAGTTTATCAGAATTTCTCTCATGTAGCAACTAAACATTTTATACCAATAGATGACTACACATATCACCAGGTAAAACTAGAAGCCACAAAATTTTACCTGCCTCCCACGTCCCTTGCCTTCAGAAGCACCTTCAATAATTCCAGGAAGATCAAGCAGTTGAATCTTAGTATCATTGTAATGTATGATACCAGGAATGCACGTAAGTGTTGTGAACTCATATGATGCAGCTTCTGAATGAGTTCCAGTTAACATTGTTAAAAGGGTTGATTTCCCCACACTGCAGTCAGAATACAATGCAATAATTAGCTTCCTCTCCAAAGAACAAATGTACACAGAGGGCATAAATGCGTGTCTGTACCAATCTGAGAGCATAACATTTATTTTCCTATATATTTGTGAAAGCAGATGAAGCAAGCAGACTAGAATGAAGGTACTGGCAATAATTGAGCAGTATCATCAATGCATTTATCTTAAGTGAGATAAAACCAAAATTAAGATGCATTAATTCAAATGATAAAGGTACGGACCTTGGAAATCCTATTAGTGCGACACGTCCATCACCAAATTTTGTAACTTCAAAACCCTCTCCAGCCCCACTAGAACCCTGATTCATAGATTGAAAAAGAAGTTAAAAAAAAAAAAAAAAGAAAAGAAAAGACAAAGAATATTGCATGGCTAGTGTAAAGAAAAACTAGTGCAATCTACAATAGATTAATAGCCAGGCAACAAACAGCTTAATCATTAAGAACTCTTACAATATATTAAACATCTAGCCAACCAAGCAAGAAAAAATAACTTATTTGAGCAGTTAGATTTGGGTAAATTTATAGTAAAAAAAGACTAAACCACCTAGAAAGTGGAAATGAAGCTATAAGCTTAAACAATGAAAAACAATTAAAATAATAGAAAGTGATAGGCCTGTCAAGACTTAGAAATTGTTAAAAAGATGTAAAGATCAATGGTAACATTATTAGAAGGCACAAGTAAATGAAAATGCGGCAAAGCAGAATTTAGACAAGAAAATAAATTCATATTGATGATATCAACATAAAACAATAAATTTTAGAATCCATTCATGTTGGATAAGAAACATTCACACTTTTGGTGGCTCTAGTAATTGTGTCCTTAGCTTTGCAATCTTTGCCTTGAGCTGACCAAGATGGTACTCTGTGTATTCCATAAAGAAAAAATAGTTAACACATTAAATGTTTTCAATATGATCAATATTTATCAAATACAAACAAGTAAAAATGGATTTGAAATGAAGGAAAAGGAAATTCAGTTCATATATGCATGCAAAGTGATATAAATGTATACCTGTGGCCTTATTTTTCTGGGTTCGAGCCATCTCGGCTTCAATTTCTTTAATCCTCTCAATAATCCCCATTATTTTCCTGATTTCAAATACTACACTAATGAAATAAGAACAAAGACACAGCTTCAGCTTCTAAAAGGTGTAATTGTATACGTTTATAAAATACAAACAAGTAAAAGAAGGCTAAATCCTACAAAATAATGCAAAAACCAATACATATTGAAAGAAAAACTAAACTTTGACGAGAACCCAATTATACCACCAGACGAAACAAGAACAATTTGGAACAAAAATCAATGAAGGTGCCGTGTTTGGTTGATGAGAAAACGATGGGAAAGGAGAGAAAGGAAACTTTGACAATGTCGTAGTTATTCGATTCCTTTTTCCCTTCTTTTCAATCTCTCGATAAGTACAAAGATATAAACGACGAGAAGGAAAAGGAGTTGATTGTTGATCATAAATCCGACAAAAAGCAAGTGGGTTTTAGAAATAGTTGCGCAAACATTTTAGAAAAGAAAAGGAAAAATTTAGGAATTATGTGATAGTAACCTCATAACTGTATAGAACTGATTTCAACAAAGAGACAGAAAATTTGCTTGATGAAAGACTTACCAGAACCGAGTGAATGGCGATCTCCAGAGCAGAGAAAACAGGACGAGAAGAAAAAGAAAGAAGAGGTAAAGCAAATAGAACCAGCCGCACGATATATAGTAGGGCTTAAAAGTCCCAAGACAAGACCTAAAAGACAAACGATAAGCCCAAGCAATAGGTCTTCAAGCACATTCGCCTTTTGGGCCACAATGCCGGCCATAAGATTTGGTTAAGTGAGTACAGATCATGACAGATGAAGAGCGTAGTCATGAATCGGAAATTTCAAACCAAAACCAGAACTATTACCATTTTTATTTCTTTTCTTCGTAGTTAGTTTTATTTTTCAAGTATTGGTTTCGATTTGCAAGTAGTGGTAGTAGTAGTATAGGTGACACTAGGAACCTAGCAACCTGTTCCCCCTTGAGCGCTCAAGCTACCGTCAGTCATTCCGAAATTGGAACACGACAGTTTGCATGTTAAATTGTTACCTCACCAGTTCCAAGTTTTCGACTCAAAGGCCACTCTGATTCAAAACCGAGAATACCTAGTTAGCACGGCATTTATGTTCATCAAATTCCTCGTCTGACCAAACCAAACAAAATCATCAATTTTAAGAGTACAGTTTTTCTAGATAGTACAGAGAATTAATCTTATTTCTAGTTTAGACAGTTAAAATCTATTATTTACAATGTTACAAGTATCCTAGTCTTGGTTCATTTACACTTCCACCGCATGCAGCCAACTTGCTCGCACTAGGATTTGGTGCCGGAACCTGTGCCTGCATCTCAGCAAGCTCTCTCACACGCAACAAAATTGGTGCAGGAATGGGCATCGAAGGATGTTTCCGTGAATTTACCTACATTATCAACCACAAGGAAACCATAAATGTATTGAAAAGAATGACACTTTCATGTTGGGTGTTCCGACAGACAACCCCTTCCTGGAGGCATTCATTATGAAGAAGTACGAGGATGATTTGGGTGAAATTTGTTGTACCAACAATAACACCACTGAGAAAGAATAAACTAGAAAAATTTGATATCTCACCCCTTTGTCCGCAGGTGTCAGGGCAAAGCTAGCTTTCAGCAGATTCCTCCATTTGTCCTGCAAAAGAACATTTATCAGCAAAAACTATTTTTCTTACAGTCCTAACCAATTCTTATGTTTAATGAAATGGCAAAAATTCATTCCTTTCATCATCATTTATTTACCAACAAAAATACCATATGCATACCTTTAGATCAACAGAGGTTCTATATGAATAGGATGCAAAGGCAAGCCTTTTAATCTCAGACCATCTGCCGGCTCCATACTTAGACACACCCTCAACTAGCTTCATAACCTCAGAGAGAGTCCAAGCTCGATGATGTTTCCTTCTAGTTCCACCTTTTGCCGTTGGCACAGTAGCAACATTGTCATCTGAAGTATATCCGGATGGATCTACGTATTTTAGCCCCATATTCCGCCCTAGCTCGGCTGATGGCTTCTCTTTCTTGGATTCAGTTACAAACTGAATATACAAACAGAATGTTGAATAAGCAAATATGGTTCAGTTACAATCAACTAAAAAGTACAAGGTGTAACATAGTTCATGTTATAGATATCATTTACTGTTTTCACCTGCTGTGGAGTTTCCTCAGGAGAAGATTTGACTTCCAAAAGTTTGTTCACACTTCCATTGTCTATTAAAGAACTACGTATATCAAGATCCTTCCTTACAAACGTAGCTGTCATGCCCATGCCACTGGGATGGAATTTCTGTAGAAGCCAGTTCATGTTGCATCAGTACCATAACCTCTACTATCTAAATGATACCAGTAACACAGGTCATAGATTCCCAATAAAGCATAAGTAAACAGATTTACCATAAAAGATGGGTCAGAGCAAGAAGTAACAAAACATTCAATTATCAGGTGATACTTGACTTACTGAATTTTAGAAGTTATTGTTTATCTATTCAACTAAAATGGTCAGCTCAGAATTGGACATGGATGAACAAAGTCATAAACCAACTAGAGAGCTTTTGCACAGACTATGAGAGCTAGCAGGAAATATCTGAATGTTCTTGTCAAAAGCAAATATCAGATTAAAAGACCTAAATATTCAAAGCCAAATTCATGTTGATTGCCAACAGATATATATTTTGTTTGTAGAGTATTAGACTCTTAGTTCCACTGATCAAGGTTCAACACCTAGTAACCTCAATTGTCAAAAAAAAAAAAAAAAAACAAATTCATGTTGCTGACATAGATATGCAGTGTTTTATCCTTTTCACATACCAAAAGAGCCATGACATTCTTCCTTGGTCGGCTTCTTCGAACCCGACAAACACACGGAACCCGAATCCCAGATCCTCCAAGGGAATCCAACCTCATGATAACAGTTCTCCCTTCCAAGGACAAATTTCTGGCGGGCCTAACATGAGATTTTGAAGTCAAGTGTCTAATCCCAATGTTTCTAGTAGAAGTAATGAACCTGCCACTGTACTCTTTGGACTCTGCTTCAGAAAGTTCTTCAATATACCGCTTTGTTGGCTTCCGAACTCTCTTAGCAGCTCTCTGATCTGCAGCAAGATCTTCACTTGCATAATTGTTTTCCACACCATTATTTCCCAATCTCGTCCCAGAAGTAGTTTGAAGTTCATCTATTTGACTACCATGGCTATTCAGCAAGTCCACGTGGTATTCAATGCTGGCGGCCGGGTATTCTTTGCCAGTAGGCAGATTCACATTGTTGGAACTATCTTCTTTACCCTCTTTCACCAATTTATTGTCTTTAATCACAAAAGTTGTAGTTGAAACATCACAAGAATTAGTCAATCCCATGGCAATCCTTCTTTTAAGCCACTGCTTGTCCTTGACAGTAGTGTCTCGCCCAAATGTTGCCTTGAAAACTTCATGAAGTTCTTTAATTGATAAATTATCCAAGCATATTTCACCCTTCAACTTGGAAAAATCAGGTTTTGAACTAATATAGCCTGCAGAAGTTGATGATCCACCTTCCATTGGCCCATCCAGAGGTTTTGAGCACTCCCCAACATTCCCAGATTGAGTAACATGATCATCATTCAGCCCTTGTGCCCTAGTAGGGACAGTTTCCTGCAAAGTAAATGAGATTGGAGCTTCCAATCAATACCAGGCAATTTATCATGTTCAGAACAGTGGCTGTCTACATTCATATAAGCAGAAGAATGATCAGGAGATCAACATGCTAAGCAGAGACTCTTAGCATTTTCTTTTATGTACTATAGAGATATTAAGGCCAAGAAGGATCCAAATAATAATAGATCAATTAATACTAAAACAATTAACTTCAAATCAATCATGTGCTTGAACATGTACAAGTAGGAAAAAAAAATGAAAGATATAAACTAGGGAGAGAAAAGGACATCCCCTCCCCCCCCCCCCACACACACACACACACCAAAGATAACATTGTTCGCTTTAGATACGAACTGCTGCTAATTCATTACACGTTTAAAATTCTGAAAAAGAAGTAGATGAGTATATGAAAAAATCTTTATCCCCCCTACGTCAGATTATTTGATTTAAATATAACAGCGAAAAAAACTAGAAGCAGGTTTGATTTCTTCAATTTTTTCAAAAAAATGGATAGGTTGATAGACATGATAAGAAGAAGAAAAAATAAAGGAAGAAATGTTACAATGGATGTAACTTAACAACTAGACAGTCATCCTCACCAGACAAAAGTTTGGCGAATTCCAAGAAGATAGTTTCCACTAAAAATGGAGTATAGTTACCAAAAGTTAAGAATTAAGGCCCTCCTAAAGCAGCAAAATCCATGAGTAAGATATCAACATCAACACCCATCTCAAACTCAAAAATAAAGCTTTGACAAAATGTTCTTCAAAAGAAAAATCAGAGAAGATTAAGCCCTAAAAAAATATTTTACAGGCAAACAAATTAAGCATCCACTAATCTATTTAAAGAAAGTTAAGAATCCAAGTGTAGTTGAAATTGGGAATACCTCAAGGCGTGCACTTAATTTTTCGGTATCAGCTTCTGTGTTCTCAGATTGTGACAAACCTGGCAAATATTAATCATTCAGAAAATTAAAATATATAAAATATCATAACACAAATACATATAAATGTTCATCCTATGAGTATAAAAGCTAACATGGCAAGACTGGAAGCAACATAAAAAATCAATAATTCAAAGAAAGATCCCACTGCATCTTCAAGTACAAAGCTAGATTTCAAGTAAGCCTTTTCCAATACTGTATTGCTCAAATTTTTATGCTCAAATGACTGTTTTGTGAATCTACTTGTTTTCTGTTTTTGGTTTAGCCGATTCCATGAGCTTTGCTTACCTCTTGGGAGTTTCTCTTGTACAGGTCTTCATTACACAGACCATACCTACTTGACATTTGGCATCTTTTAATTTAATTACTTATGCATATAAGGGAAAGATGTAACATGCATATTTAAAAGTTGATGAAAATGGAAAAATCTATGAAATAGAACAGAAATACACAAGAAGCATGGAAAAAAAATCAGCCCAGACAATCAGTGCAGATAAAAAGACACTTAATCACAAGCTCAGTGAATTACAAAATCCCAAGTCACAATCAGAAGAGACAGACTTTCTTATCCTATTTTAATAGGTGTTAAAATTTTTCACGATGTAGGGCTAAGAAAGTCACACCTTCTGAGCTTTCTAACTGAGGCATGCCAGAGGACGATTATTAAATTCTAAGCTGCCAGTGTCACAACAATGGGTTATCAACGCTTCATTATTATTAGTAAACCTCATTGCCATCATTCATCATTGTTGCAGCTATCTCCCATCCCTTCTAACCTAGCATGAATAATTTCAATTTAAGATGCAATAAGAATAATCAAACCTTAAGCTACATGTCCACATTTTTAGCATGGCATTTAACTAAAAACTGGATAACTTTTAGATTTATGATCCACTGATACAATATTTGTTGATCAATAAAAGGATTCAATACTTGGCAACTCAAGTGAACTTCTGTGTTGTTGAGTACGCCCCATGTGTCAATCATTTTTCAATCAGCAGAAGAGGCTAAAAGATTTTTTTAAAAAAGATAATCCCCCTCATTCAGATATGTAAAAGCATCACTCCTATTAAACAAACTTGGTAACCAAGCACTTCAAAAAAAAGAGATTCAAGCTAATCAACGCAGGTCAAGTTGTTCCTTGACATTAACAAGTTTTACTAAGCAAAAGCTCAAACCTGACAAATGGTTACAGCAAAAAAAAAAAATGAAAATTACATTAAAAAGAATGGTATTACCCTTCTACAAACTTATCATTTCTAGTTTCTACGCTGATTATAAATATGGTATTAACTTCTAAATAATATTTTGATATGATCACATCATTTCAAGAGAACCCAACCTCCACTCCAGGTGATTCTAACCTTCCAATTCAACTAATTTCTACATATTATTGTTTTCTAAATGAATCGATGGTAGATATTCACAACATCAATTTGTCTTTCACAAAACAGTTAATCTTGCCCACGAACATGGTGTTTCATAAATGATCAATAATAAAAGATGGGTATTATAGAAAATTCAAAACTTATAACACTTTAAAATCTTTTATATGACACACTGTCAAATGACTTCCACATTAATCCTTTACATTAATGTAGCTCAATATCAAACTAAAGCAAATCCAAGTCAACATTCTTACACCAAAAAAAAGGTGAGAAGAAGGCAGAAGTTCTTTATATATCAGTAGAATAAAATAGTTAGAATAACATTGGCTGAAAAAGGTACCCGAACGAGCTTGTAAACAACCGGATCAGCAACATGCTTTGGTGAAGATAAAACCAAGTTACTTTTCTCAAGGCCAGTCTCTTCAAACTTCCCTTCATCACTCCCCTCAACTTCAACCACTGTTTCCATGGAAAATCCACGACCCACAGCTCAAAAACAAAAACTGGAAAAAACCAAAAAATGGCCAAATGAATAGACATGTCAATTTTCTTTGCGAGCTACAAATCAAAACTTCATTCATGCATGGGAACACAAGCAAACACACCAAACGAAATTCAAATTTTGGAGTTCCCCTATGGATATCATTTATGAGGTCATGTAAACTTTACTTGCTCAACAGTCAAATAACCTTGTTTCTTAAATTAATTACCAAATTCACTCAAGATAGTCCAAATTTTAACACAAGCCTAGAATATTACAATCTAAACAGCTTCTTCCGCCCACCAAAATTCCCATATTCTACAAATTGAAACCCTAATCCTCAAATTCTAACAACCTAAAGAAAAATATGCCTGTTCACTAACTGGTTATATTTCCATATATAAAACAAGAAAAAAAGAACACATAAAAACATCAGATATTTCTATAATTAATCAAATGAATTGCATTTTAACTAGACAGAAAGCGAAATAAATGAAATTTCAAAGAAAAAAAAATAATGAGTTTATCTAACCATAGGACTGTGATTTCTGACCGAGTTGACTCAGCCCTACCAGAAAAAGAAAAGGAAAGAAAGAAAGTGACCGATTTGGAGTGAGTTAGAGGCGTGAAAAACTAAGTTGGTAAAACAAGTAACGGAAATGAGAGAGAGAAACTCAGAGAATAAGGACTATATTTTTTCTTTTTTAGTAAGAAATATTTATTTGTGTGTGTGTGTTTCTTTTTTTCTTTTATTTTTCGCTAGCGCATTGTCGAGTGAGTTGAGTGAGCGTGTTCCTTTTCGCTTCGCTTTTCCAGCACGCTGTGCTTACTTACCTCATACAAATCCGGATTCGAAATTTCTGACAATTGTATTTTATAAATGGCGTAGAGTCCGGATACTTTTTCGGTAAGGTCTTTGCTTTTTGGCGTACGTTTTGCAGGTCAAAACTTTGTGTCCCTGGTCGCTTTTTTTAAAAAAAATAAACAAAAAAATAAAACGTTTTATTGGTTTGAATATAGCTTGGGTTTTGGTCTAACAAAGTTAGTTGTAGGATTGCGACGTGCCAGGGGAAAGCCCACAGGCCTAAGCCCATCGGCATTCATATGTTTCATCCGAATAAATATAAAATGTCAGCACAAAGGCCCATGCGGATTTCGCCTGTTTTCTGCAGCGAATGAGAAAGGCTTTTACCTTTTTCGGTTTCATAGCCTTTGGATTCAACGCTCAGCAATCAAGACTGGTTTACATTCCAGATGCCTGAAAAGAAAGCCTCGAGCCTGGAACAATCA